AAGAGACCTGATCAGAAACTGCCCCACACAAATGCAGGGACAGACAGCATCTGGCCCAAGATCAAGGAGGTTTTTATAACACAAAAGTTACAAAGGTGGGTGTCTTGGGAGCTCACAGCTGACAGGGTTCTGGCAAGACTAATGTAAGAGCAGATAGCAGGTTAATGATCTATATGATTTAACATCTCAAGGTAGGGAGTGAGCTCAGAATCAAAAACCAAAGTTAATGAGGAGCAGCTGAGATTTCAGGGAGAGTTGTTATCTGGTCAGGGAGAGCCAGGCCTGGGTAAGTTCAAAGCATGGGCAAGAGTTCCAAGCAAGTTTAAAATATCAAAATGTGGTCAGGCCAAATAGAAATCTTAGTATTTTATAGTAAAACAGAAATCAACATTTCATGACCTGGATTTAAGATTGTGGATCCCAATCTTAAAATGGAATTAGGCTGGGTTCATCATATCCCTCTTGTCTTCTGTGTCCCTTTCAAATCTTTGATAGGATGGAGGATGGGCTCTAAATAAATTTCACTCCCTCACGGGACAGTCTCCAACTTTCCAGACTCACTCAAAATTGGCCTCCTTGATCTGACCTGACTCGATTTACCTGTCTATACTGACCCCCTATCTAATTCTGGCTTCACTCCCCCTCTAATTTTAGAAACTCCTTCTTGCTGTAGGAAAAGGGGCAAAGACCACTCTGGCAAACTTGAGCTCAGAGGGGGCAATGTCAAGTGGGGCAAGTTGCTTTGGGGTTCCCTTTTAGAAGTCAGGTTGGATTCAAATATGTTTGAGGAAGAACAAGTTGTAAAGTCATCAGGGGTGGGTACTTCCTACAACTTTAGTTTGGGGAACACCAGCTTGATATAATGTTCTTTTAAACCTTCTTTGTTAAAGACTTGTATACCTCAGTGTAGATCCCAGCAGGGCCTCCAAATATGATACCACTGGTTACCAGTGATGAGTTCTGCTCCCTCACATGTTGAAGTTTGAACATTAGAGAAACACTCCAAGGCAAGCATATGAAGCAAGGTTGTTTAGAAAGAGGGAACATTGACTTCTCACAAAAGGGAGAATTGTGCCACAGCTGGTATCCTGGTATCCCCAAGTTCATGCACTCTTATGAAATCTGGGGTCTTTGCAGAACCTGGGCCTATACAGAAGATCCAAGAAGCTTTTTGGAGAAGGGATCTCTGATGCAAAACAAAGAGAGTAGGGTTTCAAGGATCTACACCATGGATTGTGATGTAATAAATGTAGCCAGAAAAAAATTCCTCACAACGAAATTAAAAATCTCAGAAAATCACTTTGCAATCTCAGAAAATCACTTTGCAACTTTCCAAGAGAAACTAATTGCAATATGTATACCTAGGTAACTTATAAATCCGAACAATGTTAACAAAGCTTTACATTAAGCACTCTCTCAGGAATTAGGCAGCTGGTCCACTAGTTAGAAAGATTACTTCTATTTTGTATGGGTAAAATCATATTATTTGCATACCATCCATTATGTTTCAAAGGAAGTGTGCCTGAACTCATTCAAATATAATGTAGTTCACAAAGGTACAGGTTAAAGAGAATAGAGTTCTGCTATATGAACCAGTAATATTTTTCCGTTATTTTTTAAATACTTTATATGGTAAAAATACAGCAAAAAATCTATCTTGTTCAAACACTAAAATATATATGATATGGTCACAGTTCCCAGGATGATGTAAGTAGTCCCTGGCTCCTTAACTGTTCAACGTAGTGTATCCTAAGTCCAAATTCAGCTTCTCTGGCTTCAGTTATTTATCACAGCTAAAATCATACTATAAAGATACATGAAGAAACAGAGCAAGTGCAAATCAAGCTTGATCATGGCTTCTTTCATATGTCACTTCAGTTGCCCTCAACTTTGTATTTCTGTTGAATCAGACACCCCCACGTTGCCACTTGGCACCACAATAAACCAATATATATTCAAAGTAGCAACAGGTAAGTTGAGAGAGAATCCAAACCAGTGCAGTGAAACAACTAATATACAGTGACATTGGTATGGCTAAGCAATTCTGGAATTACTCACCTATTTAATTCTGAATAAATAAGTGGGTAATTCCAAAATTAATTAATATGATTACATTAATTAATTCTGGAATTATCCACTTAATTAATTAATTAATGTGATTACATTAATTAGGCTAGATCCAACATGATGTAGCCTAATTAATGTAATCACATTCTAAATCAAATGATATAATTTGAAGCAGACTGAGAGGGAGATGAAGACACAACAATTGTGGAGTGAGGAGATGAACACTACTGCCTCCATCCTCCTCCTTTTCATTTCCTTCCTCTTGTGTTGCTGACACTCCTTTTATCAAACTGTCAAGTATTATATTTACATATAGAAAATACTTAAAATCCATAAAACATCAAGATATCTATATAACGTTATTGTTGGAGTTAATCATTTTAGTAAATTTATAAATGCCTCAATTACTCATTATCACATCTGTGAGTAATTCAGTACCCTCTTTTAAAGGGAACTAAGTTATTGTGATTTAGATGCTTCTACCAAAGTCCAGAAACCACATAAATCATTTGAACAAGGAAAACTAATATAGACTTATTCATGCCCGAGGCTCCAGTTTTTATCCCCAATACTGAAAAGAAAAATAAGTATAATAATTAACTAGTAAAAGGTGGTGAACCACTAAAAGAAGTAAAATAAGGCTCCAAAGAATGCAGAAATGGCATATATAGCAAGCAGATACTGCTTCTTGGGATGAGGCAGAGTAGCCACAAAAGGAAGAAATGTACAAGAGGGACCCATGAGACTGAGGAGCATAACTCATTGAGGAAGATGAACCATGGCCCACTGGAGGTTGAAAGGGATCTGTAATGCATCGACAAATCAGATGTAATTTCATAATATTCCCCCGACCATTTCTGATACCAGATGTATGGGGTTTTCCACACCAAGTTATTCTCCAATTCTCTGCATATATCTGGGTGTCCTATAGTTGAATTAAGGAACTATCAGAGACCCCACAGTCTTACAAGTATGTACCCATGACTAGAGATGATAATCACAAGATGGCGCCTCAAGTTACCCACATGTTTCTGAAGTAGTTGTCACTGTAAGGAGGTCCAATGTAGTCTCTCCATTGGAAAAGTAAACCTCTACTAGACTTTCAGACCCTTGCCCATACCACAGAAAAGACATAAAGATGTGTTGGGCTTTAGCAAAGAGAGGATGAGCATCATTAGAAAGTGAAAAGTGAATAAAGGAACCCTCAGAGAATAATGTGGGCAATCTCAAAAGCAAAAAGAGACACACCACCAGGGATTAAGGTCAGGTTTATTTTAATAGGGTACAAACGTAGAATATATGATCCAAAGGGACAGAACATCCCTAGAGATTGGGATATATAAAGCAAGATGGTTTTCTATTAGGGAGTCTAGTCTGGAATGTAGTTTGCATCTGATGGATCAGGTGATTAATCCAATCAAATTTTAGCCTCTAGCTAGTAGTGTGTTTCTATTGAAATCTTGTTCCGCTTTGCTTCATTCCAGAACATTTATGGGGAACTGGAAAGTTATAAAGTAACTTATGGGATTGTTTGGTGCATTTTTATATTTTGGTCTCTTTCTGTCCCTTAAGCTTCTTTGTCCAGGTCAGGAGCAGTTCACAAATTATTGTTCCACATCCCAAAAGGCACATTTCTCCTTTAGAGAGTTTTTTTCCTTAGTATCCCTAAATTTCTACCTTATTCCCAAGGACGATCCTCCATTCCCAAGATTCATCTTCAGAATGGATGATTTTCTACAGCCCTTTTCTAGAAGGGATCATAAAACCAAGAGAAACAACTTTGTTTATTAGCCAATTTATTATGAAAGATCTTGGAAAGACACAGTGAATAGCCAGATGAACATGTGCATAGGGTGAGGCCCAAAATATCTGGAACACATGAGTATCTGTCCCATGGTGGAGTTTCAGAGGCACCACCCCAAAACACACATGGATGCATTGTTATTCATCAAGTCAGATGCTCCCTCAATGTTTGCATGGAGGTTTCACTGAGTCACTATGATTGATTAAATCACTGACTACTGGCAAATAATAAACTCAACCTTCAGCCCTATTTCCTCCTCTCTTTCAACTTTCTACTCATAAAATTTGTTACTTTGGCAATCTGCCCCCCTCCTGAGGTGACCCATGTTAATAAGATGACTTTCTAAAAGTTATCTTATTAACATAAACTCAGATGGCTGAAAGGGGCTGGTTATTAATAACAAGAGACTCTCCTTTCATCTGCATCAGGAAATTCCAAGAGTTTTAGGAGCTGTTTTCAGGGATCAGGGAGAGAAACCACTTTTCAGGGACCTAGAGTGAAGACTAAAATTATGGATAAAGATATCAATATACACATTTCCTACTATGTAACCAAAAGGTGAGCCTTCTGCACACTGCTGGAAGGTGATTCAAAAAGAAAAAAACAGCCCAGTTTAGTAACCCATGCCTGTGATCCCTGAGGCAGGAGTATCACAAGCTCAAAGCCAGTCTAAGCACCATAGCCAGGCTCTAAGCAATGCAACAAAACACTGTCTTAAAATAAAATTTAAAAAGGTTTGGTGGTGCTGGAGTTGTAGCTCAGTGCGGGAGCATTGTGAGGCACTGGCTTCAATTCTCAGCACCACATTAAAGAATAAACTAAATAAATTTATTGTGTCCAACCACAACTAAATAAAAATAGTTTTTAAAAAAGATTGGGGACATCACTCAGTGGTTAAGGAGCCTGAATTGAATCCCTGGTCCCCCAACCCACATCCAAAAGAAAAAAGAAAAAAAAAACAGAACTACCTTGCAATGAAGTGGCCCCTCCACTGCATTGTACAAAATATCTCACATTGTCTCAGTTGGCAAAAAAGTGTTTACACGGTCCAGCTCCATTAACACAAAGAAAACCAACATAGAGCAGATTTGGAACAGAAATGCAATAAAATGATACTGGACTCTGTCCACACCTTTGACTTTATACTTTATGTATACATACATGTTATACCATTTTACAAATTTTGAACTTCCATAAAACAACAAATCCATCATGACAAAGCAACCTGACTAAGGAAGAAGTTCTTATCTACTCCCCAACATAAGGAAAAAGCACTCCCAATCACTGTACACTACACTACTATATGATCTCTTCAGATTCACTCAGTCTCATTGACTATACTATTACCTAAAAGATAACAATTTGTATAGAAAATCAAAATATAAGAAGAGAGAGGAAGCAAATGGTCAATACATACAGTTACACACATATACACCACAAGCAAAGAGAAAATATACAAAACTAATACATCCTTGTTTCTAGAAGTACTGTGTGTTATATGTACTCTCTTTCTTCCAAATCCCATTCTCTGTTTCCTCTCCCCAAGTCAGAAAACTAGTCACAAAAATCTGGTAGAGTGAACACACCTTTATTTTTGCAGGGTCTAATTCTCAATAGTCCTGTCTCTTCTTGTTTGCTGTGGTTTTCCATTAACCCTTAAGATCAGACTTGGAAGTACTAAGAGGAAATATACTAACTGGACCTATGCTCATGATCAAAGCTTTTTGAAATTCACTTTGCATCTGAAAATTCTCTTTTTCATTTATATTTACTCTAGTAATTCTTGCCTTTCCTCAGTTACAGTATTGACACAAAAGAGGAATGGAGGAAAAAATCAAAAGGTAGCAGGAAGGGTGGATATGATCAAAGTACATTATATGCATGTATGAAATTGTCACAATAAAACCTGACATTTTGTACAATGAATGTGTACTAATAGCTTCTAAGGGGGATCCATTCCCTTATCCCTAATTCCTTGGATTAACATATCACAATATTCTCAATGGTACCAGAAAGTTACTGAGGCAAGGGAAAACAAATATGTTCCATTCATCCCAGAATAGAAAGCAAATACCATAGAAAGTTGGACCATTCTCTTAAAAATCCACCATTGTTTGGAGATTGGAACAGAAATATCTTCCAAAGGCTTATGTGTTAAAAGCTTGGTTCTGCTTGTGGCCCTTTTTGGAAGTGGTGGAAACTTTGGGTGGTGGGGACTAGGAAACAGGAAGGAAGTAGGTAAATGTGGCTGTGTAATTGAAGACTAGGTCTTGTCCCAGACCCTTATTTTTCCCTTCCTCCCTCTCTCTTTTTTCTCTCTCTACCCTCACTTTTAACTCCCTCCCTTCCCCCTACCCTTTTCCTCTGTCTCCCTCTCTTGCTTTGTGTCTTCTATAAGATGAATCACTTGCTCCACCACATGTTATCAATCATTACATGACATTCTGCCTCAGAAACAATGAAGCTAGACAATTATGAACTGAAACCTCTAAAACTACGAGGAAAATAAATCTCTCCTCCTATAGGTTGATTTCTCAGTATTTTGTCACAGAGTCAACAAGATGACTAACACACCTATTCATATCCCAGAAAACTTTTGGATGATAAACTTTCTGGCATCTGATAGTCCAAAATTGCAAAAATAGAACTGGAAAACCTTCTCAATCTCGTTTCCTCTACAAACATGCAAGTCCAGTAATGTGATCTCCCCTTTGTTTGAATTTTTTTCAGACAGGGTACCTCTAAGGTGCCCAAGATAGTCTGAGACTTAAGGGCTAAAGTGATCCTCCTGCCTTAGCCTCCCCAGTAGCTGGGATAGAGGTATGAGCTGTCACACCTATCTAAAATATTTTTCAATACCAAAAAGATATGGTTCCTTATATTTAAATTCCACATTCCCTAAACCAGTTCAAAAAGAGTTAACTTTTAACCTCTGCTATCTGAATATATAAGATATGAACCCTTTTAACCACACATCTGAAGTCTGAGCAAGAGCAGGAGGACAAGTACATTGCACCTTCCAAGTCTCATCTCAGGGGATTTTGCCACATTGAGTCTATAGCCACAGCAACAGCCACAGTGAGTGATCACACATACCAAGGGACTCTATGAAGACAAAACCTTTTGGTGTCACGGAAGTAATAAAGATTTAGCCTCTGGGTAAGCACCATCAACACCACAGCTTGAGATGAACCCCTCCTTTGGAGTGCTCAGGGTCTCCTCCAAAGTAGGAGAATTGTTAAGGGGTACAGGGAGCCCCTCAGACCCACTCTCCATGGAGCAGATGGTCATGGACACATCTCCATACATAATCATGAAGTACGGAAAGAGAGCTCCAGAGAAGGAAGCTGGAGGGAAAGAGAAAATGTGGGACCCATCATTCATGTTATAGAAGGAGACATCCCCTTCACTGTAGTCCAGGAAAACCCCCACCCTGCAGGGATCCTGCCTAGGAGATAACCAAGTCACAGGACCAGTCCCGGCAAAATAACTATTGTCATGTTTCCCCATAACCCAAAACCCCTTATCTGGTAATTCTCTGTATGAGTCTGTTCTTTTTAAATCTTTCCAACAGACTCCCAGAGTCCACCTGCTATGGGATTTATTCTTTATCTCCACTTCCCAGTAACATCTTCCTGATGTGATGCCCTCAAGACCCAACACACTGAAATTTTTATCACTATTCACAGAGGGGTCCTTCAGACACGTCTTTTCATGAGACACACACAGCATGGGGTGAGCAGAGTCTGGATCCAGCGTGACAGACCCTGTTGAGAGAGTTATCAATCATGTAAGGTGCGCCCTTGCCCCAACACATAGCACACAGCCACCCACCACCTCACAGCCACATAGCTGCCTGAGCTGAGGAGGGGATTAGACTCCTGAGATATAAGTCTTATAACTCAAACCAACGTCCTCAACCAGAAGAAGGAGCCAGAAGGCTGACTTGAGGGTAGCCATGTGACAGGACCATTGGTTACAGTTTTGTGACCATCACTTCTGCCACGGTAACACCATTGGTGATGTCAGTATCTGAATCACCACAGAGGGCTTAAGGAGAAGCCACAAACTATGAGAGCAACAGGAGGAACATCTGGAAGCACACAATCACTCACAGGCTTGGAACTGTTCCTTCCGCCAATCTAGGAGAGAACACATATTTCATATCAGGGATTTGCAGGTACTCCACACATCATGACCAGCACCCAGTCTACTGAAACACAACAATGTGGGAGGAAGAATGGAAAAGCTGTGTGAAAAAATTCAGCTGCTGTATTTATTTTTTAATCACACACACACACACACACACACACACACACACACACACACCTCACACATAAACATGAAGTATGGAGAGGCCACTGCAACATTCCCATGAAGACTATGTCCAAAAGCTTCACACCCTGGGATCAAAATTCTGTATAACAAACTGAAAAGTCACTGTTTAGATTTAACTACAAAATAATACTTTCTCAAGACCCAAACATACAACCATGCTAAAAACTAGGTTATCTTGTGATACAGTTGAGGTTACCAAAATTTCCAAGACCTCTTTTACTTATAAAGAACTGACTGTGCTGGACTTGTAAGGTTACCTCTAAGCCATGAGTAGAGAATTACATCTAGCTTAGCTGAACTTGGAGGATGACTAGAAATCATGAGTGCTAGGACCTCAGAGAAATTTTGCCAAGGTAGGTGGCAATGGAGAGGGATTTAGGATGGGAAAGAAAGAAGTTCAAAGCAGGAAACAAATATATACAGTGAGAGGTCATCACTAGTGACTTTTCTTCCACTTCTCACAGACCAAGAGGAGAAAAACATCCTGACATATATGGGTGAACCCAAAAATCTAGGACCTAGTCCTTTGCCTCCCACAAGAATTCCCTGAAGAGTTTCAAAACTTCCAGCTATGATAGAACCCACATTCCTGAACTTCATAAAGTGTGAATGTGTTAAATACATGACTAGGCAACTTTACAAATGTGATTAAGATTCAGGTTCTGGAGCTGAGATTATTCTGGATCCTATGCATCACTCCAAAACTACTCACATGAACCCTTGTAAACAGAGACCTTTCATGGCTATAGTCAGAGAAGCAGATAGAATCACAGTAACAAGGTCAAAAACATACTGTGTTGCTGGCTTTGAAGATGCAAGAACAGGCCCTCAAATGAAAAATTACAGATGGCCTCTAGAAACTGAGCAAGACAACAGCCTCAGAAAGAAACACAGCCTTGTCCCAACTTTCTTGAACTTCTGGTCTATAAAGATCTAAGTTTGTAGAAATTTGGAAGCAAACAGAAAACTACTATGCCTATATAGGTGTCAAAACCAGTGTTGAACAAAGCACTGGCAGATAAATGTTCTTGCAGAAAGCATAAAATTCCCTGTCTCCTGCACACAGGAAGCTGAGGACCCAGAAAATGTCAAATTCTCTGCTAGATGATGAAGAGACAGATAGTTTCCAAGTGAGCCAGTGAACCAGAGAAAGTCTGAAGTTCAGAGTAAAAAGCCCAATGTCAAACAGGAATAAGTGACCCAGACCTTGGACATAACCTCAGGGTCAGGGGAAGGGAGACCAAGCAATGAGATGAGACCTGCCTTTTCTCAGGAGACACCAACCCAAGGGTATTATTAACCAGTTCAGATGAGCCTCCTGATGGTGAGGACCTCCAATAACCAAGAGAAAACACAAGGTCCATCTTCTCCCACAGTCCCAAGGCCACATAACTCTCCTCCACCTTCCATATTCCCTTTTGGGAATGAGATAGGAAAGTCATTGACCAAAGCAAAGTATACATATGTCATACACTCCAAAATGTCTTCAACTGGAAAGCTTTTGCCTCCAACAGGGCAGAGCCTCAGGAATAAGATTAGAATAGTTAAAATAATAACTAAACAACATTTTTCTTTCTTAAAGATTTGTGTTTAAATTTGTGCCCACCATATCCAATAATACAGGTTCAATCAGATACATTGGTATTTCCATCTTTGTTGAATTTCTTCATAGAAACTAGATCATATTAAATGACTGAGGAGACCCAGATGACCCTTGGAGAAAAGTAAATATTTCTCATTTTTTACCAAGACATTATTTGGTAATCCATTATAATTTCATATGTAATAACTGACTGAGATTATCAAAGGAGAAAAGAGAGGTGAAGAAAGCAGCCAGGGGAGAAAAGGAGAAGGAGTGAAAGAAAAAAAAAACTTTTGAGATTTTCCAGTGTATCTAGTACCATGCTATGCACCTTAATGCAGCCTTCACATAATTCCCACCAAAAATTTGAATATATAACTCATTGTTACAATTTCATAAACAAGATGAGATCAGACATTAGTTCACCTCACACTATTGGCCTGTCAATATTAAAGTATTAATTCTAGTACAATAATGTGTTTATCCTTACAAAATAAAAGAGTATGCAAGTTATACATGAAAATACAGCCATTAATTCAGCAGAGAATGGGGGAGTTGGTTAAAAAGAAATGACTATTTGATCCTTCTTTTATAATAAACCTGTCCACAAAAAAATCATTAAGATTCTCAAAGAGTGTTCCACATACATGTGAAACCAAAGCCTGCTTGATGCCATGGGTCACCTTTCTCTGTTTCTCACAGTCTATATCCCTGATGTCAAAAAGAAATAACAAGAGTAGAAAAAGGGAAGATTATACAAATTCAGATAGCACAGGTCCTATACTAATCCCCAGAGTTAAAGAGTCTTCTAGATAATCTTTCATTGCATTGGAAACTGCCTTAGCATATACTTGTCCTAACTGCTACTGGAAGGTTCAGGTGGTCTCATTATCACAGGCAAAACCAATGAGATAAATACTTAGAAATGGCTTAATAGAATTCAGAGAGAGAGAGAGAGAGAGAGAGAGAGAGAGAGAGAGAGAGAGAGAAAGTATTCATTGAACTCTCTCAAAGATGTATCAAGAAGTTGGTTACAATACATGCACACAAAGAACCTGAAAATGCTCTTCACATTGAACTCAAACCACCTTGGATATGATCCTCCAGCTCTCACTGCTTCAGCACACCCAAAATTTCATTGTGAGTCTTGGGCACTCTACTTTTCTTCTCATCTCCTCTCTCATCCCACCTCATCCTTTCTTCTCTGATTTGCTCAATACCCTTTGTCAGGTAAACAATTTTAAACTATCCAGGTTCCTCCTTTTATGATCTTCACACATTAAAATAACAAAGGCATTAAAGACCAAGCCAACAGACAAAGCAAAATTCTCTTAAAAGCAGAGAAAATTGTTGTGAACATTAACTTGCATTTTGTTCCTGTAACACAAACACAAACACAGAATGTTGCATATAAATTTAAGTAGTTCACCGATGCCCTAAGCATCCTGGACCCCAAACTGAGAATACCAGAAATTCATTTCTGAGCAAACAAAGTACTTAGAAGAATCCTAGCTAGGACAGTGAGTCAGAGTATGAGGGGGCTGAGAGAAGACCAATATCCAGAGGACAAGAAAGAAACAAGAAAACTAAACCTGGACCCCAAAATAGGAATCTGGGGTAAAGGGAATACAGAACCAAGGCCCCACATTAGGAAGATGTAAGTCCCAAGATGTAAAATATAATTTCTGAAATTTCATGGAGACCACCAATTCTTATCTACACAGCTCCAACTCTGCTCCATCTGGGATCTCCTCACAACTGAACTCTCCAGTGTCATTGCACCAACAACAAATACCTTTTCAAAGTATGTTTTCAGGGGGTACAGCTAACCCTAACCTGCAGGGGAGGATGGTCCTAGAATAGGTTCACTCCTGAGAACTACAATACGAAAAAATAAAATTAAAATTAAACAAGACTATAGGGAAATTACCAAAAATGAAGAATGATTGAGGGTTTGGTTGTGGCTCAGTTGTAGAGTGATTGCCCAGCATGTGAAAGGCACTAGGATCAATACTCAGTACCACATAAAAATAAAATTATTGTGTCTACCTACAACTAAAAAAATGTTGAAAAAAAATGAAGAATGATTTAAAGACAGGAATGTGAGGTGAGTTCTGTGGTCCAATCCCAAGGAGAAGTCCCTGTGGTCTTCCAATGCAAGTTACAATCACTTTTCTCTCCATTTAGGAGAATTTTGCTTTCCTGTTGTGCTTGGCTTTGGTTAGTTTGGGCAGGGGACAGATTAATGTGTGACGATTATTAAACGAAAAAAAAGAGAAATTAAAAGTGTTTACTGGGAGGGGAGGGAAACAAATTAGAGACAGCAGAGCAGGAAAACCCATCCCATCCTGGGTGGAGACCACTGATACAGAAGGGCAGAGGAGGAGGATGGAGAAGTGAAGGCCAAGGAAACATCAGAGTCACTTACCTGCATACAGAGGGGCCTTCCTCCAGGCTGAAAGGGAACACACAATGGAGAGATCACAGTTAAAACAAGCCTTCTCAGGATGAATGTACCTGCCCTGGCCTCCCCTCCATTCTAAAGATGAGACTGCCCACAGGAGGACAGAGCCAAGAAAGGAGATGTGCTCTTGCAGTATGCAGGGACCCCAGGGTGTTGTGGGAAATGCCCTGGACCACAGATCAAGATGGCTGCTTTACAGGCCAAATTCTACCACTGTCCCACTGCTTTCTCTCAGAAAAATTTCTGACTCAAAACCCATAAAAATCCATATTCTATCTGTCTTTTCTCAGTTTTCTGCTAAGGATAAAAATCATACTATGTGTGAAAATATTTGAGAGAATAAAATATAAATCATTCCACAATTATCAGAAGGCATTATTATATCCAGACATTTTCTGGCAAAGATATACTTGGGAAAGGGGTAGGTATTTGGCCCCTGGTAGAGGGCTTATCTAGCATGCACAAGGCACAAAGTTCAGTCCTCAGCACCACAATGAAAAAATAAAATAAAAATTTAAAAAGACATTTGGGAAATTACCAAAAAGTGAAGAATTATTTAAAGATAGGTACGTGAGGTAAGTTCTGGTGTAAAAATGCCCAATTTCTTACAGATGAAATATTTCTAGAGAATAAGAAACATTATTTCAGGAAGTACTTGGTTCACTCCATTACATTCCCACCTGTGGTGACAGCCCACTTGGATTAGCACCTTTGGGAGCTGGAGAAAACATAATCCTTGTATGGTGATTTGTTGGGAGATGAACAGAAGGCCGCACTCCTAAACCCGATTACTCCATTTCCTTATATGTATCATTTAATAATATCTAGTATCTGCCTTTAAGCTTCTGAGTGCAGACCAACAGCTAGATGTATTGAAGGCTAAAAAACAATATTCTCATACATGTCCCTCACCAGTGATGGGAATGGGGTTCCCCTCGGTGGAATGAGCTGGCTGCAAAATAAAAGCTAATAAAAATGAAACAATGAAAAAAAGGCAGGACACAACAGAAAATATTTTTAGAAAGAGGGGACAGGCCGGGACTATCATACAGATTGAGTTTCTGTACTAAAAACATAAAATGGAGCCTACACTTGCTTTTTTATATTGGGGAAGATCAAAGGCCTTCCATAGAATGTTCTTCACCAAAAAGGTTATAGGTGGACTGTCTGGTACCCAACGAGTACCAGCTACTATGAGGAATCTTCCTAGTAGGGCTGAGATAAAGGTCATGTGCCTTGGGCAATCCATTGCATAGGAGAGCCAAGGATAAACCGAAAATCTCCCTGGTTGCCATATCTAGAGAAGACCCCAAGTAATTCAAGGATGGCTTCCAGCACAATATAATGGGCAAGACAGGATTGAAATAAGATGCAAAATACATGACAGACCAGGAGTCACCATCACACCCAGGTTTCCAAGCACTAAATAGGAAACAGCAGCCCAGATCTAAGAAAGCCCAGGGAGCAGTGTTCTGGCTTCCACTAGCTCACAATTAGCCTCCCAGGGATGGGAACCCACATGTCTGTGCCTAGATAGAAACAAGGAAAGGGAACACCAGATCACAGGCAGGATAAGAAAATCAAGGATACCGGGACAATCACTTACCAGAAAGATAAGAAGCTTTCCTCTGATCTGAAAAACAACCCAGGAATTAGGAGAGGTGGGAACTAGCAAATGCACTATCAACACATCATAGAAAATTAAGAATGAAAGCAGAACTTACTAAGATCTGCTTGGAGTTCATCTGAAAGAAAATGAAAAACAGCGTGAACCTTCATCCACAAGAAAAGAAAAGTCTAGGGATAACAGGAACATACCTCAATATTGTAAAAGCAATCTATGCTAAGCCTCAGGCTAGCATTATTCTGAATGGAGAAAAACTGAAGGCATTCCCTCTAAAATCTGGAACAAGACAGGGATGCCCTCTCTCTCCACTTCTCTTCAACATAGTTCTCGAAACACTGGCCAGAGCAATTAGACAGACGAAAGAAATTAAAGGCATAAAAATAGGAAAAGAAGAAATTAAATTATCACTATTTGCAGATGATATGATTCTATATCTAGCAGACCCAAAAGGCTCTACAAAGAAACTATTAGAGCTAATAAATGAATTCAGCAAAGTGGCAGGATTTAAAATCAACACGCATAAATCAAAGGCATTCCTGTATATCAGCGACAAATCCTCTGAAATGGAAATGAGGACAACCACTCCATTCAAAATATCTTCAAAAAAAATAAAATACTTGGGAATCAACCTAACAAAAGAGGTGAAAGACTTATACAATGAAAACTACAGAACCCTAAAGAGAGAAATAGAAGAAGATCTTAGAAGATGGAAAAATATACCCTGTTCATGGATAGGCAGAACTAACATCATCAAAATGGCGATATTACCAAAAGTTCTCTATAGGTTTAATGCAATGCCAATCAAAATCCCAATGGCATTTCTTGTAGAAATAGAGAAAGCAATCATGAAATTCATATGGAAAAATAAAAGACCCAGAATAGCAAAAACAATGCTAAGCAAGAAGTGTGAATCAGGCGGTATAGCGATACCAGACTTCAAACTATACTACAGAGCAATAGTAACAAAAACAGCATGGTACTGGTACCAAAACAGGCGTGTGGACCAATGGTACAGAATAGAGGACACAGAAACCAATCCACAAAACTACAACTATCTTATATTTGATAAAGGGGCTAAAAGCATGCAATGGAGGAAGGATAGCATCTTCAACAAATGGTGCTGGGAAAACTGGAAATCCATATGCAACAAAATGAAACTGAATCCCTTTCTCTCGCCATGCACAAAAGTGAATTCAAAATGGATCAAGGAACTTGATATCAAATCAGAGACGCGCCGTCTGATAGAAGAAAAAGTTGGCTACGATCTACAGTCGGTGGGGTCGGGCTCCAAATTCCTCAATAGGACACCCATAGCACAAAAGTTAATAACTAGAATCAACAAATGGGACTTACTCAAACTAAGAAGTTTTTTCTCAGCAAAAGAAACAATAAGAGAGGTAAATAGGGAGCCTACATCCTGGGAACAAGTCTTTACTCCTCACACTTCAGATAGAGCCCTAATATCCAGAGTATACAAAGAACTCAAAAAATTAGACAATAAGAGAACAAACAACCCAATCAACAAATGGGCCAAGGACCTGAACAGACACTTCACAGAGGAGGACATACAGTCAATCAACAAGTACATGAAAAAATGCTCAACATCTCTAGCTGTCAGAGAAATGCAAATCAAAACCACCCTAAGATACCATCTCACTCCAGTAAGATTGGCAGCCATTAGGAAGTCAAACAACAACAAGTGCTGGCGAGGATGTGGGGAAAAGGGTACACTTGTACATTGCTGGTGGGACTGCAGATTGGTGCAGCCAATTTGGAAAGCAGTATGGAGATTTCTTGGAAAGCTGGGAATGGAGCCACCATTTGACCCAGCTATTCCCCTTCTTGGTCTATTCCCTAAAGACCTAAAAAGAGCATGCTACAGGGACACTGCTACATCGATGTTCATAGCAGCACAGTTCACAATAGCAAGACTGTGGAACCAACCTAGATGCCCTTCAATAGACGAATGGATAAAAAAAATGTGGCATTTATACACAATGGAGTATTACTCTGCATTAAAAAATGACAAAATCATAGAATTTACAGGGAAATGGATGGCATTAGAGCAGATTATGCTAAGTGAAGCTAGCCAATCCCTAAAAAACAAATGCCAAATGTCTTCTTTGATATAAGGAAAGTAACTAAGAACAGAGTAGGGACGAAGAACAGGAGAAGAAGATTAACATTTAACAGGGATGAGAGGTGGGAGGGAAAGGGAGAGAGAAGGTAAATTGCACGGTAATGGAAGGAGACCCTCAGGGTTATACAGTGGAGGGGGTAGAGAGAGAGGAGGGGAGGGGAGGGGAGAGGTGGGGAGGGGGGAGGGTGGATGATGGGAAAGGCAGCGGAGCACAACAGACACTAGTATGGCAATTTGTAAATCAATGGATGTGTAACTGATGTGAATCTGCAATCTGTGTATGGGGTGAAGGTGGGAGTTCATAACCCACTAGAATCAAAGTGTGGAATATGATATGTCAAGAAATTTGTAATGTTTTGAACAACCCACAATAAAAAATTAAAAAAAAAAAAAAAAAAAAAAGAAAAGTCTGTGTGCCTGAAAAACCTAAGAAAAAACTTTGATACTAGAATTTCTACCTACACACCCACTCAACCCCACCAGGCTCTAGCTGTCCTATCTGATCGCCTCAGTCTCCTCCTCTGGGCTCAGGACCCTGGATCTCTCCAGAGAGCTGGACCCCAGACTCTGCCCTGTGTCAGCTGTCCCACTCACCACCAGGTCTGCACTTGCCCTGTGCCGTCTTACCAATGGCCTTCAACACCTCTTCTTTAGCCTGCTGTTCCTTTTTCTTAAGCATTCTAGTAGAATGTGCTTTTGTGATAAAATAGCTAGCCACCAAGAGTAGGAGTCCCAGCATGGTCAGGATCACAGCAAATGCTGGTTTCCAGGGAGAAGCCTGAGGGAAGAAGGGCTCTGTGGCCCAGGCAGACAGCAGGTCAGGGGCACACCCAGGAGAGCCAGCACACTCAGAGAGGCCAGCCCCTCCCCACAGCTCTGCTGGGAGTGGGAAGCAGCACTGACCTGGGATGTAAATAGCCATGGCCTTCTCCTGGCCCAGGACAGGGTTGAGGACTGAGCAGGTCACATTCCCCACAGAACTGTCTCTCACCACCAGAGTGGCCTCCACACTAAACAGCTCCTCAGTGTCTTGGGTGTGGGCCTCAGAAAGCGCTGGGAACTTGTTTCCACTGAGGTCTCTCCACTGCACCTGGGGCTTTGGGAACCATCCTGAGGCTTTGCACACCACACACACTCCATCCTCTTCTGGCCCTTCTATGTGCACTTGAGGGTCAGAGCCCATCCCTGTGGGAAGGAAGCTGTGGAGCCCCAGGAGGCCATCTTCGGCCTTGAGACTCCAGAGTTGCCTACATATTATACAACATCAGGGGATAAGCTTTCATGTTGAATTCTGGGAGTTCTAGGGGAAGAGGGAATAAAAGAAAGCAGCACAGAGTCCCACAAAGGGCACTGGGCTTTGCTCCCCAACCATGAGTACCACAGTAAACAGGAATGATTTTGTCCCAGGGCTTCCTTATTGAATCTCAGTCTTCTCACCTCACACACTCTCCTAAGACATCTGTATCTCTGTGTATTTCACAAAATTATATTTAGTGACCACCTTTTCTCCTGAATTCTCTTCCACAACACCCATGTTCCCATGAGTTAACTTTACCAGGTTTCCTCCTTTCAAACTCAAAACTCCAAACTGAATTCATAAATTTGCACCACTTGTGACAAAACAACTATTAAAATCTCCCCAATTCCTCACCCTTCTTTATAGACAGTTCTCCCACTTCCACAGACTTATTACTGCCTTTACCTTCTGCCTCTCGGCTCAGTCATGGGACTCAATTTGGCAATGAGAAATTAGCTAATATGACTAGTGCAGAGGTTTTTAAAACATTTGCAACTTGGTTTTAACCTCTACCATTCCCACAGGAGGACAATCGTGGGCTCCCCAGTGGAGGATGGACTCCTGTAACATTGCCTGGTCAACCTGCTACAGCTGCCCTAGGTCAGCCACATGACCACCTGAAACTTGAGCACACCAAACGAAGGTGAACCTGGTGAACTTTTCGGCTGACTTAAGAACAAATAAAAATTACAAGTAAAAAAGTTAATTCTCCCTGTTGATAAAAGAAGTCTCTATTTCTTTTTATTACACCATTTGCTTTAGAAAATTGCAATTACAAATAGGCACTTTCTCCTCTTTTAAAATGTTTATACATAATTTTGAAAACTGACTAGGTTTTTTGCCAGCTTTGTGGCTCAGGAATATCTTACTCAAGGACCTGGGACCCATTTCTTTGAAATGTAAGCATGAGGGAAGATAGCAACCCTTTGCCCCCCTTTTCTCTGGAAAGGTAGGTGCATAACTTATGTGGGTATCTTGCTCCAAAATGTAAAACTACTTCCTGTCATAAAGCTAGAGGAGTTTATTTTGCTTCCAGATAAAGCCTATTAGATGACACTGATGGTCTCCCAAACTACCAGGTAAATTTAGGAAGAATTATGTGGAACAATAGTGCTTTGAGCCCTCTTAGTTGAATATTAGTTATTCTTCAACTTGGCAACAAGCATACAGGAGATTATATATGCTTGGCTCTAAAAAGAAAGATGAAACTCCTTTCTGGTTGTGTAATCCATTCACAGATCACCATAATATGTTTAACACTCTGTTTTGATGCTTATTCTGTAATAAAAAGTGTTTTCTCCTAGCATGAGAGATTTTGTTTTAATTATATTTCTCATAAATGACAAACATGTATGAGTAAACCCAGATGAGATTAGGCAAGTTCAACCCCAATTAGTTGAACTCCCTCAGTGCTTGAAAATATACATTTTTATTGCCAGATGCACCTGAGATTGTGGTTGTTTGTTACACAGCATTATTACAGCAGTAGAACTGACATATAATTTTCAAGTGTCCTGCCACAAAACAACAAATGGTTCAAATAAAACCTTGTAAGTCTCTGAAGTCTTCTCTTCCCCTTCCAAACTTTGTGACCACAAATCTACTCAGTTGACTCTAGTTTCTAAACCTGTCTGACCCCTCCTCCCCCACCCCACTGCCATGTCTCAGGTCAGGCCCTCATTCTCTCCACATCATAACTGCACTCCATGCCTCCTTCTTGCTCACCTCCCATCCATCCATTCACAGCTGCCAACATGAGCATTCCCAGCATGGCTCTGTTTAGGATTCCCCCTACTCTGCATCCAAACTCCATAACACAGCACACAAAGCCTTTACTGATCTGGTAACTGCCTTCCCCTCCATCACTTCTCCCCAAACTCCACCACCTGAGACCCTCAGGGCCCACACACTCAACCCCAAGAACTATCTGGTCAAGTGCAAGTAGCCACAATCACCATGTTGTATGCCCTCTGCCTTTTCACCTTCCACCCCATCAACCTCCAGGGCTCTTGTGCCAGCCCAGGTGTCCACTCCTAAGGACCTCATCCTGACACCTGTGAGTGATGTTAATACAGGATCATCTCTTTGTTCCAGTAATACCACTATTACCATCCTCTCCCTCACTCCTACTATCAACCATGATGGCCTCATTATACACAGAATAATAAACCAAACTTCAACTCAAAGGTTTCATACCAGGGGCTCCCTCTGCATTAAACCATGGCCCCCCAGATACCCACCTGGCTAAATACCTACTTTCTTTGAGCCTTGCTCAGACTGTGAATAAGACTCTGCCTGAGCCCCTATGTAACACTGCAGCTTGTCCTAACACCCCAGCCCACATCCTGAGCCCCTTTCTTAATTCTACTTGGTCTTTTATCTTAAGTACTTATCACCTTATAACATCTTGTACTGAATTATTTGTTATAACTTTTGTTCCTTTGTCTCTAGAAGGTGACCTCCTCACTGATGGGATCTCTGTTACACTGATATATCTCTAATGCACAGAACAAGTCCCCACATATTTCAGATGACCCATATACAGTGTTTGTATTAAATCAATGAATAAAAGATGAGCCACTTTTTTCTTCCATTTCACCTATAAAATGTGAGGCAAAATTGGATGATCTCTGATATTCCCACAGAGCCCAGTACTCCCAAGTTCACTAGAATAGAGGTCAAGTAACTAACCTGCCACCTTCACTTCAAAATCAGCCTCATCATAGAAGCTTCCATGTCTGAAGAAGCAGGTGTACATTCCATTGTCAGAAACCCGGACCTTGTGGATGTGCACGGAAGCCTGACCCTCAGTAAGGATGTCCCTCAGCAGTGAGGTTCGCCCTCTGTATTCAGCCATCTGCTCCTCAGTCTGTTCCTGTTGGTTCCAGTAGATGAACACTGCCTGTGAGAATGTGGTACGGAACCACCCCAGTTCCATGTTCTCTGCATTCATGGCTGGGAGTAGGGCACAGGGCAGTATGGCATCCTCGCCCAGCACTGCCACAATGGGATGTCGAGGGCCAACAACCTGGAACTGCTCTGTGGACAGAGACATGGGGAGGGAAACTATAGAGACACAGACCAAACAACATAGAACACACAACATCAGGTGGAAAGGCCAGAAAGCTGGGGCAGGGGCCACATGAGATGACCCCGGAGGTCTGATGAATTTAGAAGAGGTTTTCTGATCAAAGTGATGTGGCCAGAAATTATACAAAAGACACTCCCTCATTGGCTTCTGCTCCTGGTCCAAGTCCCTCCCATGAAGTAATCTCAAATTCAGTGGTTCTCAAGATTTCATGCACCAGAAGCACTAGGATGCCTTATACAGCACACATCACTGGACCTCATTCCAGAGCATCACATTCACTAGATCTGGGGTGGACCAATGAATGCACATGTACAACGAGTTCCAAGGATGGTCTGGGGAGCACTCTTTGGGAACCACAGGTCTAACTTGCCCTTTTTCAGGAAAACCTGAAAACAGACCAAGGGCATACCTGTGGCCTAGGTCAGCACTCTTTGATCATTCAGCCAAACCTAGAAAATTCCCCTATTCCTATTCTAAATTTGTTACTTCAGTCTATATTTTTCTCCTCCACTGATGGAGGAGAGAAATATATATGCACTTTAAAACAGAGTCAAATGCTACTTACTTCTGTGAAACTCCTGCTCTTGCAATTCACAGAAACCCCCATCACTGCATGTTCAAGGAGCAAGTTCACCTCACTCTCCACCCCCTTGGTGCTCTTGGTCTTCTGAGGCTACCCATTGTAGCCTCCACATGGTTCCCCACTTGTCCCCAGGCTTGACAAGGTGGACCCTCCTTCCCAAGACCCCTCTGAACTCACCTGCTGCTTCTCTCCCCATATGCTCTAGTCCAGCAACGCTGGCCTCTGAGCTTCCTCACACCTCAGCACACTGCCAGCTCTGCACAGGCTCCTTCCCCTGCAGGAACCCTCCTTCCAAATAGTCCTACAGCTCACTTCTCCTTCTCCAGAGTTATGTTCCCATCTACACACCACCTCACTGAACACTGCTGCCTGCCCACACCTGCCTCCCATGCCCCTCACTGTCCAAACCCTGCCCTGTTGCATTTCCAATCATGGTCATCTCTTCCAACACACTTAGGCCTCTCTGCCTAGGTGCTTTTATTACTCACTCTCTCCTGCTAGAAGGTAAACTGTATGACAGAATTTCTGTTTGATTCTTTCATAGAATAGCACTTAATAATCAACATTTCATAAATATTTCAAAAAGAAAATGAATGAATGAATGCTTGCAGCACAAAAAAAGGCAAGAAAACAACAAAAAATGAGGGAAAAATGTATTTTCAAATGTTTTTCTATCTTGATTTTTAAAACCACAAAGGAAGACAAATGGGAACACTCACCTGTGGACAGCTGGACAAGGAAAAGCAGAGAAGTGAGACAGCAGAGCAAGGAGCGACTGCACGACCCCTCCATCTTTAGAGCTGGGGAGAGAGATGGGGATGAGGGCCAAGACCTGCAGGCAGGAGTCAGGTCCAGCCCAGAGCTCCAGTACATCAGCATAGAGAGCAGGGCTTAGGGCTGGACAGCAGTCCCCTGCTGGAGCAAAGCATTCCTATTGGCACATCATACCAACAGGGTGCTGGGACCCCAGAACCCTGATACTGACAAACAGCTGAGTCTGGGCTCCTTCCAGCTTTTCTTAGAAGACTGTGGTATCAGGAAACCATTAGTTACCTGGTAAGAAACTGTTCCTTCCTTTCCAATGCCAACCACGGGGCAGCTCTACTAGGCCCAGAACACCAGGCTCTTTCCTTCCCCATACCTGGAGCTCTGTGGTGGAAACCATTCCTCTAACTCTCTGTTATTGCACACCACTGATAACCCACCAGAAAAGATGGTCAGATTCAGGGTCCCCATCAGGAAGCACATGCAGCTCCTGCTTCCCCCTTGTTCTGCCCCATAGTTATTCCCAGGTTTGACTTGGACAGTGTCAGAGATATTCAAGGAGGCTGTGGTCCCATCACAGAAGCCCAGAACCCCATCTTGCCTTTTTAGATGGGGAGTTCACCTAAACCTGAATCTCAGCCCAATCCCTTCCACTGTGGGCTCAGGACATGGTGCTTCATATGGCAGGTGCCAAGCACTTCCCCACCAACATGTTTGTCCTTGCCTTCTTTTTCTTTGAGAAAGATTTCTGCCTGAGAGGTAAGGGACCCTTCCTGGAGACAGGGCATAGAGATAAAATAGCCCTAGTCAGAGAAAAGACCCCAAATTACCTACTGTTTGGAAGGAGCAGGGAGAAAGCAGTCTGTGGTATAAGGAAGAACAAATTCTGGGAGATGACTTCTAGGCTGCCCTCCAGGCTCAGCCACTCTCACTATGACCTTCTTGGCCTCAGTTTCCTTATCTATATGATGGGCATAGTCACAACTTCTACCTCCCTATTTGTAATAAAAATGACATGAATTTATAGTCACTACATGTAATTAGAACAGGACTGGTCCCAGAAAATGTTACAGAAATATCATTAAAACAAATGAATAAAAGAACAACCCTCATTAAGCTTCTCCTGGTTCTTCCTAGAACAAGACTGTCCCACCTACCCAACCCCACTGCCTCTCACACCACCTCATCCTCAGCTTCTTCCTGCCACCAGCTTCTCCCTGGTTTCCTCCTCTTAGGTCACAGGTGTCTTCAAAGCCAACTTACCTGCTTCTCTGTTCTCCCACCTATGAAAGGCTGTGACTTCCTGGAGCGTCTCTAAACACAACAGCTGGAGAAAGGTCAGACTCACAAGGACCCTGGCAGGCCCCAAATCTGCCTTCAGAATCTGCACCTGCCCCAGGCTGCTCTCAGAGACCAATCCTTACTTCTGAGTCCAATGCTGGGGGCCCAAATTTTTCATTTCCAAGAGGCAGTTTGTCCCCAGGAAACAGGGAAAAAGCAGAGCCACACATAAGTTGCAGTGATCTCTGCAGAGTCTCTGACACTGGAGACCCCACTAAGCCCTCCCAATCAGAGGAGAAATCCCTCTCTGGCTTCTTCCAACATCTAAAGTGAAAGCTTGCCAAAGGAGCCTGGGCAGAGTGTGCCCTGCCCTCTGGACATCGCTCCCTTCACCAGGAAGAAGGCAGTAGAGCAGAGCAGCAAAAAAAGTGTGCCCACAATTTTCCTGGAACACTGCAGAACAAGCCCAGAATGCCACCACCAATCCCTGCCCAAACAGCAGAATCCTGGAGGCTTAGAGATGTCAGGGAAATCTTACAAAAATAAGAAAACAAAATTATATTGAATCCCTACTAAGTATCAAGAACTGTGCTACATAAACTTTACTTATGGGTCTCATTATCACAACTGCAGAGATAAAGCCATGAGCCCTGCCATCTGGTAACATCAATCTAGTAACTTCCTAGATGAGGGAGGAGCTGGCTGTGCCAAGAGACTGCCTCCCACCACCACATCTCCAGGCCAGCCCAGCCCCCTGACCCAGGTAACTCAAATGAGCAAGATCCTGAAAGGGATTTTGGACTCTCAGTTGCCTCAATTACAGGGCCAGAAAGCTTATCTCACCCTGACCTGAGCATTCTCCCTCCCAAGGTTGCCCTTTGCCTTCCATTTGGGGAGGAGGGGGTGGAAGCAGTGACAAAGTGCAGGTCAGGTCTCCTTAAAGAACACTGGCAGAATCCTTGACCAGCACTGGCAGGGGACACTAAACCTCAGCACTGTCCTCTCCCAGCTCATCAGGATCACCGTTCAGCTGCCTTGACAAGAAACTCTATTCACGAAACAACAAATAATTTTCTTGTATAAACTTAAATGATCCTAATACTAATGAGGTTAATATTAACTTTCTTTTATGAATAATATGTAATAAATACCTCTTATCTTTTTCAAGTATTAAGTGTTTTCTAAATAGCTTCAGATAAATACCTAAACCATAAAACAATGGTTAGTGAAATACATTGAGATTCTAAAAATGTGACAGTTGATATAAAGTACTTAACTCACCCAAACCCCCAATTTTATTGATACTGCGGAATGAACACATCCTGAAATATCCAACCAGAAGTGGCTGAGAGACCTCCCTGTGCCTCTCTCTCTCTCTCTTATTGGAGCCAGGACCTGGCCCAGCCATCCTCCCCCCGAATTCAGCTGCTGAGCCCTCCTGGCTAAGGCACCTGCCCCACCACCCTCTGCATGAGCATCCACCCCTTCCTCATCTGAGATTCCAGGGACATAAAGTATCCCTCCCACTCAAGCCCTGAGATAGAAAAGGGTAAGGGAGTGAAGTCAGAAGGAGAAAAATATACATTTCTATAGAAAATTGAGTGAAATGTATTAGATTAATGAAAAGCAAACAATAAATAAAAATTTAAATGAAAAGTCAGCAGACTGAGAGAAAGCTGGCATGAAAAGGAAGGAGCACGGCTGGGAGTCTGGTTCAGTGGTTGAGCTCTTGCCCTGCACTTGTGAGGCACTGGGTTTGATCATCAGCACCACATAAAAATACATAAAATAAAGGTATTGTGTCCATCTACAACTAAAAATATTTAAAAAAAAAAGAAGAAGAAGAAGAAGGGTCGAGGGGCCTGCCATTGGTCTGACCTATCAGGAGATGAGACACCAGAATGAACACATCAGCCCAGAGTATCTGAAACTTGTTCCCCAGTTACTGCAATGTCAGATCAGTTGCAGAGAGCCAGCACAGGCACTGATCATATGTGTGACCCATCAGTGACCCAGGAAGAATTTACTGACCCTCCCAATCCCAGGTAGATCAGGCCCATGTACAGTCAAGGGTGAAACAGGTAAGTCACAGTGGAGGGATTTCAGAACTGGGTCATGGAAAAGGCCTAGTTGTCTCAAATGTTGACCTATGCCCCTCAGAAAAGTAGAGAGGGGCCCAGGGCAGGAGAGTCCATGTCCAGCCCCAAGAGGCACATTCTAAGAGTCCTTGGGATGCTGCACACCCTGTTCCTCTCCTGACACAGAGACTCCTCCCACCAGGCACAGCCAGGGCCTCTGCTCTTTAATAACCACCAAGAAATACTTAGGCACACCATTCACTGAGAGCTGAGGGATGGAGCCTCTACAATAGTGGAAACTTTCCAAGGTCATAGGGTCACATGGACAAACACTGACAGGAGCAGGACTGCCTCCAAAGCACAGTCTAAAACAGTTTGGGGCACCAGCCCTTGGTGTGTTCCAGAGACCTGAAGGGCAAAAGGGGAGGCAAAGATTATGTTAGAACTTCTATCATAAAAATTTTACTCTTATATTGTTAGAGTCTGTAAACAAGTCTGGATGGTGCCTGGCATTTTGCCAGAGAAATGTGAGAGTCTGTAAACAAGTCTGGATGGCGCCTGGCATTTTGCCAGAGGGAGTGGTTTATGAAGTAATGCCAGCAAGCCATTAAGTATGGAGATTCCTTATTGGTTGACTGCTGTATCTAGTTTATGTTAATTAGATAAGCTGTGTGGAATGTATAAATACCCCTCCTGTCCTACAATAAACGGCTCCCACTCCTGCTGTATCAATCTACACAAGTTCCTTGTCACCCCCCGGTTATTTTGCTGCAGCCGGACTACGGCATTATATCTATTTTTTTTTAGCTGAATAGTATGTGTACATATTTGTTAAGTGCAAGTTCAAAATTCATAACTTTAAGGAAGGGCATGTGGGGCTGGGGTTGTGGCTCAGTGGTAGAGTGCTTTCCTAGCATGTGTGAGGTAACTGGTTCAATTCTCAGCACCATATAAAAATAAATAAAATAAAAGTTCATTTACAATAAAAAAAATATTAAAAAGAAAGAGAGAGAGAGAGCATATCTGGAACCATTTGGAAACTCCCTCCCAGAGAGGAAGGAACAACAAGCACCCAGCAAGAGCATGCTCTGTGGTTGCCAGATTACTTTGGGCCAATGGAAAGGTCACCCAGGCAGTCTTGCCCAGTTTCTTTGGCCTCTGCTGCCCCTTGTGGCTAGAATGTGGCAGAAAGGAGGGGCAGTTTCCAGAAGGAAGACAGAGAGGGTATGGAGGTGCAGACAAGAAACATTAAAACTGTGGGGAGCTGGGGTTGTTGCTCAGGGGTAAGAAGCTTACCTAGCATATGTGAGCCACTGGGTTCTATCCTCAGCAACCCATAAAAAATATATGAATAAAATCAAGTTTTTAAAAAAATGAATCTTAAAAATGTGGAAGGGATCAAAGGAAACCAGATATAAAATGCCAGATGCTGTATGTTTCCAAATATATGAAATTAAAGAATACAGAGATGGAAGCTATGATGACAGAAGTCTAATGAGGAGCTCTCTGGCATGCTGAGGAGGTAGTTAAGACAGGAAGAGACAGCATGGCACCTTCTAAGATAAAGGAAGGCTTCATATCTTAATCTGGGGTGCTTCCTCAGGTACACACACATGTAAACCATGTAACTGGAAACTGGTGATCAGGGCATTCATTCACTTTCAATGCTAAAAAGAAGAAAAAGCTGAGCACAGTGGACACACCTGTAATTCCAGCAGATCGGGAGGCTTAGATAGGAGGATTATAAATTGGAGGCCAGACTTAGCAATTTAGCAAGAATCTAAGCAACTGAGCAAGACTCTTTCTCAAAATACAAAATAAAAAGGGCTGGGAATGTGCCTCAATGATTAAGCACCCCTTGGTTCAATCCCTACTACAAAAAAATATATGTATAGAAGGAAAGAGTTTATGGAGGGGAAGAGAAAAAAATACTATTCAACTTACACAAAGGTTTTAGGCAGGTAAAACTTATGCATGGCTAAAATAACGCTGAAAAATCCTTATAACACACATAAAGCATACATAAAATTTTTCAGTTTACAGTTAGTCTTCATTATTTGATTAATGTCCAAGTATCCTCTAGAATATAAATTTCATGGTGGTGTAAATGTGTTCCCAAAGCCTGAGATTACTGTGCCTGTCATATCAGGGCTACTTAATAAATATTTTTTCAGTGACTATAACTGATCACATGGATTGCCCTGATGCTTTGGGGTGACTCAGCTCATCATGGTGGGAGCACATGCAGCAGCAAAACCTCTCATCTCATGGCCATGAAGTGAGACACACAAAGAGAATAGTGTCCTAAAAATTTCCTTCAAGGGAACATCCACAATGACCTAAAGAGCTCCAGTTGGCCCCACCTTCTAAAGGATCCACCACCTCCCACTGGCACCAAGGTGGGAGCCAAACATTTAAATGTGGGGACATTGGAGACCCAAATCATAATAGCATGGTACTACTCCATTGTTTCCTGGAAATAAGACCAGAGAGATCCCACCCCTGTCATCCCTCAGAAAAATGACACATCACTTAATAGAGCAAGCAAAAGCCCCACAATACACCCAACAGTGAGTCCAGTCAGATCATCCTTTGTTACACTTTCTGGTGTGGAGCAGGGCAAAATGCCAAAGTCCAGGTCAAAGGAGCAATCTCCAGAGGGAATTAGAGGTTATGGGGCAGGAACCTCCTTCAGAGGTAAGTTGATAAAGGAACAGATGAGCTGTGTACCCTTCCTCATGGTGCTCAGCTCACATAAAACTTTGTTAAAGTATCCTGCTGGTACTGGAAATGATGACGGACATGAAGAATATCTTGATCATAATAGGATTATTAGAGCATCCCTCCAACCCCACTGCAAAGCCCATGTGGCTAGTCAACGTAGAAAAGTAGAGGAGAAAAAGAAGGAAAGAATATAGGACCCAATGGAAGTGAAAGGTTAATGATCTCCCTTAGAACCACTGATCAGATATCTAGTCTGGGATTCACTCAAGAGTCTCGGATGTTTCTCCAGAGCTTTGTGTGGTGAGAGGACACACAGGAGGTACCAAAGAAGGAAAACCAAAGCCATTTGGGGAGGATGACTCTTGAAAACAGAAACTAACTCTCCCAAACATCCCTTGGCCTTTATGAGAGTCCCTCTCCCTTTGGTAAAGAACTCTGTTTCCCATCAGATGTCCTCTTCACTGATGCAGAGATAATCAGAAAGGTGAGTGGAAAGGTGGTGGACAGCAATGGAAGATTCATACAGAAAATGAGGCAAAGAAAA